CTATATGGTGGGTGTATCATCAATTCCCAACCAATATCCATCAATTTTTGCCGAGTGGACAAAGACGTGTGCAGCCTAGCATTGTCCTGCTGGAAAATCACACCTTTACGATTGACCAATTCTGGTCGCTTTTCCTTGACCGCTGCATTCAATTTGTCCAGTTGTTAACATTCACGGATAATAAAAAATAACATAATAATAATAATAATAATAATTTTATAATATAACATTTACGGATATCATAAAAATGGGAGTGAGAAACATCTATAACTGAAATCGGCAATTACATAGTTGCNATAATAATTTTATAATATAACATTTACGGATATCATAAAAATGGGAGTGAGAAACATCTATAACTGAAATCGGCAATTACATAGTTGCCAACCCAATAGTACGTGCAATTTTTACTGCTTCGCGTCTGACCTTAAATTGAAATGAAAATATTGTACGAATTTGCTTCCTTTCCATGTGTAGACACTAAAACGAGACTAAACGAAACTCTAATTTATTACACTTACGCCTTTGTTTCAAAGGCGCTATGATTTCGGTACTAAAAATATAGTAGTTACTCCACTTCTTCTTTTCTTATTCCACTTTTTCTATACAAAATCGAAGGAGCTATGATTTCAGATCGGTAATGTTGTGATTAAAATAGTGTTCTAAAAATATAGTAATTATTCCACTTCTTCTTTTCTTATTCCACTTTGTCTATACAAAATCGAAGGTGTTATGATTTCAGATCGGTAATGTTGTGATTAAAATAGTGTTCTAAAAGTATAGTAATTATTCCACTTCTTCTTTTCTTATTCCACTTTTTCTATACAAAATCGCAGGTGTTATGATTTCCGTACTAAAAATATAGTAGTTACTCCATTTCTTTCTTTTTTTTATTCCACTTTTTCTATACAAAATGGAAGGAGCTATGATTTCAGATCGGTAATGTTGTGATTAAAATAGTGTTCTGAAAATATAGTAATTATTCCACTTCTTCTTTTCTTATTCCACTTTTTCTATACAAAATGGAAGGAGCTATGATTTCAGATCGGTAATGTTGTGATTAAAATAGTGTTCTGAAAATATAGTAATTATTCCACTTCTTCTTTTCTTATTCCACTTTTTCTATACAAAATCGCAGGAGCTATGATTTCCGTACTAAAAATATAGTAGTTATTCCATTTCTTTCTTTTTTTTATTCCACTTTTTCTATACAAAATCGCAGGAGCTATGATTTCAGATCGGTAATGTTGTGTGAGACAGAACTTCGTATGGTAATACTGTCGTTCGAAATCGGTACAACTTCGAACGATTGTACCAGTGCCAGAGGGTTGTAGTAACAAGGATCGTCATTGTGCATATAAACGGCCAAGCAAGATTACACGTGTCTTTAAGGAAATCGGTACATCGATTCTGACATGAGTGGTGTCATAGTTTCGAGGAGGTAACTGAAATTCAGTTATCACCGCGCATGTCGTAGCGGCGTAACGGGTTTCGTATACCATGCAGGCATCGGTGACGTCCTGTTTCATATTTCACGAAGTGTATTGTCAACGTTTACCGCTCTTAGCGGCAGGATTAAAGTTTCACAGTGAGCCTTTAATTCGTTTCTATCGATCCTTCAGTCACGGACGAATCTTACGCAACCGAGCAGCGGGATCGGTATCGTTTCAAATTCAAATAACTCGCTTTATTCTTCGTGATTCTACGCACACGCTTTGCAACACGGTATGGAACCGATTGAAACCTAATTTTTAATTAAAAGTATTTTCGCACCCGTCGCACAATGGTCCGATTTGGAGAATTCAGTGACAAGTTGTTACAACGTTTGAACCATTATTATTATTATTATTATTATTATAATATTATTATTATTTTATTATTATATTATTGTATTATTATTACTATTATTATATTATTAATATTATTATTACCAAATTATTTTTAGTGAAGATTTCATTGCGATATCTTTAATGGTTCAAAAGTTGTAACAACTTGTTGTAACTAAAAATAATTTATTTTTAGTGAAGAATTGAAAAATAATAATTTTTAGGTGCTAGTAATTAAATATTTTTTTACATTTGTTAAACAATAAATTTCAATAAATCCTCATTGCTGTTTCATTGCTAAAAATAAATTATTTTTAGTGAAGAATTGAAAAATGATAATTTTTAGGTGCTAGCAATTAAATATTTTTTTACATTTGTTAAACAATAAATTTCAATAAATCCTCATTGCTGTTTCATTGCTAAAAATAAATTATTTTTAGTGAAGAATTGAAAAATGATAATTTTTAGGTGCTAGCAATTAAATATTTTTTTACATTTGTTAAACAATAAATTTCAATAAATCCTCATTGCTGTTTCATTGCTAAAAATAAATTATTTTTAGTGAAGAATTGAAAAATGATAATTTTTAGGTGCTAGCAATTAAATATTTTTTTACATTTGTTAAACAATAAATTTCAATAAATCCTCATTGCTGTTTCATTGCTAAAAATAAATTATTTTTAGTGAAGAATTGAAAAATGATAATTTTTAGGTGCTAGCAATTAAATATTTTTTACATTTGTTAAACAATAAATTTCAATCAATCTTCATTGCTGTTTTCGATTTAAAAGAAAATTGTTTAAATGTAATTATACAAATTATTTTTTACTCTCTGAATATGTATTTTATATTTATATTTGATACGTGTAACGTTTTATGGTATACGTATAATGTACATTCGAGAAATCTTTCTGTAATCGACGCATACGAAAATAATCGAAATGATAAAAACGCGTCACAAGCGTGCCAGAAAATACTTTTTACTTTCTTGGAGAAACTTCACGTGTCTCCTTAACGAAGTTGTGACACGTAGAACGTACCGCGACGCGATGCAACACCGATGTCTTTAAATAGCAATAACTTGGAATGATGGATGAAGATGGACATGATCCTTACATAGCTGTGTAGAAAAAAACGTGCTGAAAATATTCCGCCTTGTTTGAATGCGGGACTCTTTTGGACTTAAAAGATATGTCTTGTCGGTTGTAAAGAATTTTATAAATTTTTTTTAAACAAATTATATACACAAAGTCTCCTTTTTTTTTACTTCGTTTTCAACAACTCGGATTCCATTTGCAACGCCGCTAAAATTTGTTAAAAATTGCTATGTTTGCCATTTTGTTATTTTAAGTAGCCGAGATCTACGAAACGCATTTCTTTAAATTTTCGTTATACGTTCATATAAAAAAGTTGTAAAAAAACATCATTTTTTAATGTAGAAAACTATTCGACCCAGCACCTCAACGAGATTCAAGTAATTTAGACCGATCTTAAAAACGTTATTCCGTTTGTAAAAGATGTTAACATGCTTTCTGACGTGACTATATACAGGGTGTCCCAGGTTTTAATGTTCAAACTTTGTTAGTGTAAATGTTCTAATATTCTAAATATTCTAAATAATATATATAATATTCTAAATATTCAATTCTATGGCACAAAGTAAGAAAAAAATGTTATGTAAACATAGGTCATATAGAGCTTTATTAAGAAGTTATAACAAAAATTCAGAATAGGAATAGTAATCAACTTGCTGTTACTGTGAGCATCGGCTTCAATAGATCAGCACATGCCGTGTGTATACGTAAGCTGTGTTTATCAATACATTTCGAAATGTATTAATAACCGTTGTTGACAATACATGGTTGACATCGATCGAAGATTTTTTATTTTTTATTTTTTTTTTTTTTAGTTGATTACTATTCCTATTTTGAATTTTTGTTATAACTTCTTAATAAAGCTCTGTATGACCTATGTTTACATAACATTTTTTTCTTACTTTGTGCCATAGAATATACTGACAAAGTTTGAACATTAAAATCTGGGGCACCTTGTATAGACTCTGCTAAAACTGACTCATAGTATAGTTATTTACAATTTCGACTCCGGGAATAGTCGATACCTGAAACGTTCCCAACGTTTAATTACTAAGAGAAGCGAGATACCGGAATGCATATCCACATTCTTATGTCAAGTGTAGATTATAGTAATATAAGTAGAAGTTATTAATTGTATCTGCTAAATAAAGCTTACTCATAAGTGGTTCCACAGATAAAGAATAATTTTCATTGTGATTTATTGAGTCATAACAAGATATACCAACATATTTTGATTTGATGCAATATAGTAATATAGCAATAGTAATATAGCAATATAGTAATATAAATAGAAGTTATTAATTGGATCTGCTAAATAAAAAATAAAGCTTACTCATAAGTGGTTCCACAAATAAAGAATAATTTTGATTGTGATTTATATTGATTCATAACAAGAATTACCAACATTTTGATTTGATGCAATATAGTAATATAGCAATAGTAATATAGCAATATAGTAATATAAATAGAAGTTATTAATTGGATCTGCTAAATAAAAAATAAAGCTTACTCATAAGTGGTTCCACAAATAAAGAATAATTTTGATTGTGATTTATATTGATTCATAACAAGAATTACCAACATTTTGATTTGATGCAATATATGTAATATAGCAATGTAGTAATATAAATAGAAGTTATTCATTGGATCTGCTAAAAATAAAGCTTACCCGTAAGTGGTTCCACAGATAAAGAATAATTTTGATTGTGATTTATTGATTCATAACAAGAGATACCAACATTTTGTTTTGATGCAATATAAAATCGTTCAAGTGTTTATAACGATTATATCAATTTCAAGAGAGAAAGAGGAAGAGAGAGAGAGAGAGAGAGAGAGAGAGAGAAATGACAATGCATGAGTCGTAAATGAGGAAAAACTCGAGTATCGTTCAAAATCAATATCAAACAACTTGTGAATCGAGTACGAAAGGTCGGCGCGCATTCCGTATTAATGATAACACATCGAGATGTCGATACGATCAAAAATAACCATATAGCACGAAAGTAGGGGAAATCAATTAGTTCATTCTTCAAGTAATTAAACGAGGGACTCGCCAAGATACTATTGACATTTTTGAGAAAATTTACGAAAGGTTTGCCGTTTCATAGCCTCGTTTATTTCATTCGTAAACAGTAATCACTATTGCTAATAATGATTACATAGTAATTAAGATTTCAGCTCGAACTATAATCCAGTTAATTGCAATACGTAAATATTTATATTCGATGGCTTTAATTATATATTTTAAGCGATGATGAGTATATTCGACGAGAACGGAGCGAGTACATTTTCTGTAAAATTGAAACGAGTTACAACAAAGTGATAAATGCTTCTAATCCTTTCTTTTTCAATTCATATTTTCATCATTTAAAGATTCATCGATATTATTTAGAAAAATTTCAATTCGATCGGAAATATTTTTATTACAAGTACATAATTCGATCTATCTCGAAAAGAAGAATAATTTAGTTTATATTCAGAAAAGAAAATTATTATTATTATTATTATTATTACTATTATTATATTATTATTATTATTATTATATTATTATTATATTATTATTATTATTATTATTATTATATTATTATTATTATTATTATTAAGAAGTTCTTTCGTATTGTGTTAATATTATGAATGTAATATATATTATTATATATTATAAATTACTGTAAACAACAAACGCGTAATTAGCACGATCTTTTCATGATGAGAATATTCGGCATAAATATCGAAAGCGTTAACACGTAATTTGAGCAAATATACATATGAAACTGTTGTTAAACCCGTTTGGCATACGTTACAGGAATTAATATGATGCACACACACAGACAGAGTCTCGACCGTCCAGCCAGCTGAGAAGGTGGAAGGACTCACGAATATCCGGAGACGTTCTACATTGATGAAGATGAACCGATACATCACACTGAACCAGTTAGGCGATGGAACATTTGGTTCCGTCGTTCTTGGAGAACGTATCGATACAGGGGAGAAGGTTGCCATAAAACGAATGAAAAGGAAATACTATTCCTGGGAAGAAGCTATGAATCTACGGGAAGTTAAAGTATGGTGTCATCGTAAAATGCTGAACTAGAAAGAAATTGAAATCAAATAATAATAGTAATAATAATAATAATAATAATAATACTATTTTCTGTTTTACAGTCATTGAAGAAACTTAGTCATGCGAACGTGGTGAAGCTGAAGGAAGTAATACGGGAGAACGACGTTCTTTACTTCGTTTTTGAATATATGAAAGAAAATTTATATCAATTGATGAAGGACAGGTAGAGAGTTATGTTATAAGATACTTTAAAATATATGATTTTGTTGCTGTAAATCATCAGAAGCCTCGAATTCTGTTGCACGATAGGGACAAATTGTTTCCGGAACCGGTGATACGAAACATAGTTTACCAGGTGCTGCAAGGACTGGCGTTTATGCATAAACATGGGTTCTTCCATCGTGACATGAAACCGGAAAATTTGCTATGCATGGGACCGGAGCTGGTGAAAATAGCCGATTTTGGATTGGCTAGAGAAATTCGGTCAAGGCCGCCTTACACGGACTATGTGTCCACGAGATGGTAACGATTAGGGTGGTTGAGCTAACGAAAACGTTTGAGGATTGATCTTTCATGAACGCCTTGACATAACGCCGAGGATATGAATTTCAGGTATAGAGCACCGGAAGTGTTGCTCCATTCGACAACGTACAACAGCCCGATTGATATTTGGGCGGTGGGCTGCATCATGGCTGAATTGTACACTTTTCGGCCATTGTTCCCCGGTAAAAGCGAGATCGACGAGATCTTTAAAATTTGCTCCGTAATCGGCACGCCCGAGAAGGACGATTGGCCGGAGGGTTACCAGTTGGCTGCCGCAATGAATTTTAAGTTTCCAAACTTTACGCGCACGTCTCTGAACATACTGATACCAAACGCCAGCCAGGAGGCAGTAGTACTCATGGAAGACATGCTACAGTGGAATCCTATTAAAAGACCCACGGCGCAGCAGTCTCTGAGGTAGCTCAGAGAAAAACTATAATACATTAATAATAATATATATATATATATATAATACATTAAGTTTAAGTTTTAATGTTCAAACTTTGTCAGTGTATTCTATGGCACAACGTGAGGAAAAAATGTTATGTAAACATAGGTCATACAGAGCTTTATTAAGAAGCTATAACAAAAATTCAGAACAGAGATAGTAATCAACTTGCTGTTACTGCGAGCATTGGCTTGAATAGATCAACAATACTGTGTTTATGTAAGCTACGTTTACTATCTGAGGTTACCAAACATTGAAATGAATTTTCGCCAGTAATAGCTATTAGTAAGTTGTTGGTGTTCACATCTGCAACGGGAATGCGCGAGCTACAGCAAGGGAGTACCAACGCCGATTTCCTGGACGAAGAGCGCCGGATTACACAGAGTGTTCATACAGTGTCGCCAACAATTATTAACAACAGGATCCATCAACTCATTTTGCGAAGGAAATGAATTGAATGGAGTTACAAGGTAACGAAATCGCACTACAAGAACACTGAATTTTTTTGATAATAATTCAGCAGCGAGTGTTCGTAATGCCTCATATGAACTAGAGTTATCACGATCGACTGTATAGCGAACTCTTCACTCTAATAATCACTGTTCGAAACGATTTTTGGGTTCCTATAGCCACTATGAAATTCTTGTAGAGCTTCACTCCCTGAACAAGAATCCGAAAGCCGAATTGCTCCATCACCCTCAGTTTTTAAAATAAACGAACTTTTGTAAGAACCCAAAATTTTCGACAAAAATGAGGTATTGCATGAAACGTTAGAAAGTTCTAATCGGTGTTAAAAGATAGAGGAAAGTTTCCCGAATATAGTGGCATGCAATTTATTAATTGTTTTTGGTCCTAAATAGCAACAAATTGATGTCAAAGTTTAAAAAAGTGTCGACGTGAGCAGTTTCTGCGCAATATTTTTGTATTTTTACGAAAAGTTTTTTGTTCAGCACGAAAACTCTACCCAGGATCGGATTCTGTAGACATTTCTGAAGAAGAAACGGCCCGATAGAAGTGTCGGAACGATGTACATTTCGAGTAGGTCGAGAAAATGTTCGACGGCAACATGTACACGACGTCTTGCCGCCATGAGCTTCGCTGCTCGCTTCTCTCTGTCCGACAGGGCCGAAGCTACGCATAATCAACACCGATAGAGGGATCCAATGGGGCA